GTGTGTGTGTGTGTGTGTGTGTGTGTGTGTGTGTGTTACCGTGATGCTCCTGATGACGCCCGTCTGTCCCATCAGGTCCATGAAGGAGTCTTTCACTCGGACCAGGATGTCAGTTGTCACCCAGTCGCTGCTGCCCTGCTCGATGTTGGAGCCCGGGGTGTGAGGGTTGTAGCCTCCAGGAGAGGGCGCTCCAGGCGTCATGGGACTGTAGCCCACAGGACTGGGGCTGGGACTGGCCTGTAGAGACGGCACAACTGTTAAACTGCTTTTTGACTCCGGATAATCTCTGGAGCGTCTGTGTGTGAGAACAAATGTCTGAGTCGGTGTCTCTGGAACTTTTCCAGCAGGAAATCATCTGGAAACTTCGCAGTGAGCGAGCGACGTGTTTCTAACACGCGACAGATGTTTACGGAATCGCGCAGCGCAGTTTCCACCTGTTATCGACTCTGAACTTTGTGATGACACCTCGTCTATCCGCTGAGCCTTAAACTCACTTCCTGTTTCAAAGATCTGAACTAAACTACACAAATAAATCAAAAGGACAAACGATGTGATGGTCAAAACATTTATTCTCATCACATGAAATAAACACAGACTCCTCCTACCTGATAAGCCATGGGGGACGGCGTCGGATGGTAACTGGCAGGAGAGTGTGTGTTCTGGTAGCCGACCGGTGAGGGCGCCACCTGGTGGTAGCTCTGAGGACTGGGACTGGGCTGATAGGAGCCCTGTGGGGAGGGAGCTGCATAGGGAGAATACTGCTCTGTGTTGTACCTGCACACACACACACACGCACAGACACACACACGCACGCACACACACACGCGCACAAGAAAATGTTTTTAGATGTTGAAGAAACTGAAGTTTGTCCTTTTTTTAAATAAATAACATTTAAGAAAGACTCACATCGCGGGCGTGCCAGGTGTCTGAGGATTGTATTGAGGGTTGACCTGAGGAGAGGGGACTTCTGGGTAACCTGGGGTCTGGGGGTTGGGGGTTCCCCCATATCCCTGAGGAGAGGGGGAGGGCTCGTCATCGTAGCCGAAGTCGTACTCTTCCTCGTTTCTGCAGAGAAGAAACAAAAAATACAAATGTATTCAATAAAGAATGAAAAGAGATGAACCTGCACACAGTCTCTTTTAAAACAAACGATGAGGTTGTGTTACCTGGAAGGTGTGTTTGGGTTGCTGGGGTCCCAGGCCCCGCTCTGACCTGGCGTCCGGCTCCCATCATGCAGCGGGGTCTGAGAGCCGTAGTGAGGCGTACGGTTTCCAGCTACAAGACAAAGGGTCTGTATTTATTTATTTATATATATATAGTTCTTTACAGTCAAGTTTAATGTCAACAAGTAAGGTTTATCATCCTGACGTGTGTAAACGCAATGTGACAACTAATGACAGATAAACAGAGCAAAGCAGAAGAAACACAAATCATGGATCTGACAGACAACAATAAAAACATAAAACATATGATGTCAGACAAACACGCAGAGTCTCACCATCATGCAGCGGCGTCTGGGAGCCGTACATGGGCGTTCTGGAGCCGGTGCCGTACATCGGAGTCTGAGAGCCGTACATCGGAGTGCGTCCGTGAGTGGATGTCATTCCACTGTGTCTCTTAGCGCCCCTGGAGAGACGGAGAGGAATAAAAGTAGAATTGGACTCATTATCAGGTCAGAACAGAGAGACGGACACCGGGACACAATGGTTGGGACGTGTTTGTGTGTACGTACATGGTCGTTAAGCGCTGCCTGTCCACAGAGATGGTCTGACAGGTGGAGTGAAGCTCCACTCTGGCTGTCGACTCTGTCGCGTCCTTCACCACACCGATGTATCCTGGGAAACGGAGGGAAAACTCATCAGCGTCACCTCTTTTAAAAACGAGGAGTCGACCAGGAGCGAGATGACGGCACTGATCAAACTTTCACTCCGATTCGGGGTTTTTCAAAATAAAACTTCATCCTTCGTCTTACCTTTGTATGGTCCCTGAGAGATACGAACTGTCTGACCAATCAGTTCGTTGTCTCTCCGACCTCGGCCCCGTCCCATTCCTCCTCCTCCACCACCTCCTCCACCACCACCTCCTCCTCCTCCTCTCTGCTGAGCACCTGGAGGACCACAGCAACACAACATCACTCTCTGTCTAAATTCTCCGTGCGCTCTCTAAATTACAAAGTGACTAAAACTAATCAAAAGGAAGCAATGACGCTGGGTTCAGACTTGTCTAGATACAGAGCAGGCAGACGAACGTCACGGTGTTTGATTCCAACACTTACCTCCTCCTCCTCCGTGGTGCATGGGGCTGCTGATGCGAGGGCTCATGGGAGCGAATCCTCCCACGGTGAAGTTGGTCACGTCTCTGGGCTGGAAGAATAAACACGCCACAAACTCAACAAACGATGTAACGCTTCATTTTTGATAGTGGCTCAATAAATATTCACAGACCAGCATTAAAATGTTAAGCTCCCATGGTCATGGACTCGCTGCTGCCACTTTTATTACAGGACGCCAAAGACACGACTAAAAACAAATCCTGCAGAACTGTGGCAACAACATCTGAGTCTAATCCATCATGAATCTACTTTCTGTCTTCATGCTCTGATGAGACACCAGCTGAAGGTGCTGACCTTGGATCCACCAGCTAACACCAGGTGTCTGGTCTTGCAGACAAACATGCCTCCGTTCTCCACCAGCTTCTTACAGTGGAGGAAGGCGAAGCCTCTGAACAGGTGTCGGATCTCGCCCTCGCGACCCTGCACACACAAAACACACAGTGTAACACACCAACACACAATGTCATAGAAAAACACACACACTCAAGGAGTTACTAATGAACATCCTCCAAACAAAATGCCTGCGGCCACAAGGTGTCGTCAAAGCTCCAACAATTAGGATTAAAATTAAATTCAATACAAATTAAACCAGGGACCTGACAGGCTCATAAATACAGTTAAAAACACAAACAGAGTAATAAGCTGCGTCCTTACCGAGTGCGGCCCGTCGATGACCTTCACAATGTCCTTGACGTGGATGTTGTTCTGCTCCGAGTCCAGCGCCACGGCAAAGCGGTTGTCCTTCCTGCGATTCACCGCCTGGTGGCGCACTGTCAGGACCTTCCCGTGCATGTTCAACACCTGAGGGACGCAGACGTTCTTCACTAAACGCACCGTTATAAATTCTTCATGTTGAACTGAGCAAAGACTCTGTTTGTATTCACCGTGCTGACGTTTCCATCCCGGATCAGACTATTACCTGGAAGGTTTCTCTCTCCAGTCGGACAATGACTCCAACCGTCTGTGGGTCAAGTTGGACCAGCTCCCCCCACTCATGCTGCCCCCCCGCATCAACACCGGACGCCGTCTCCGAACAGAGCTGCAGGTCTCTGGGTAATACCTTCAACTGTACACACACACGCACGCACACACACACACACACACGCACACACACACAGGGTGAGACGGGGAGGTCAGTGTTCACTGTGGAAAACTTTTCATTCATTTCTATCTGAGATATAAATACATGATTGACAGCAGGTCATACCTCGTGCATGGTGAGGTCAGAGAAGAGGATGACAAAGTTCTCCTCCACTCTGACGATGAGGCCGGTGTCTCCTTCATATCGTCCAGCAATCACCTTCACGTGGTCGCCCATCCGGAAATATTTTCTCAACTCGTGAGCCGGGAACTCCAGAGGGTCCTACATTAACACACCAACCTTGAAGTGACCACCACTTAAAGTCTGACAGAGCTGTATGTAGCCAGAACGCTCGGAACACTGTGGTGTGGATGCAGCCTGTGTGTGTTTGAAAGTGTGTAAATATGTGTGTGTGCACCTTCAGGTCTTCGTGTTTGGGCATGATGGTGATCTTGTTGCCGTCCACACTCAGGATTTTCCCCTGCAAGTTGATCAACTCTCCCTCACACACCTCCACGTTGTCACCGGCCTGCAGGTTGTGTTCACGCTCTTTACCTGCACACAGAGAGACAAAGATCTAACCTCAGTTACATTTCTTTGTCATGGATTGAGAAGCACATCTTAGAAAACACCGACAATTTCTTTCTAGATATATATTATACAGACAGACACACAGACAGACAGACAGACAGACAGACAGACACACACCTGACTCTGTGACCACCTCCAGGTCGATTCCTTCAGGCTGGTCCTCAAACTTCTCCAGCTCGGACAGAGTCGGCTTCACTCCGTCTGTGATCTGACGACAGAAACCAAAACATAAGTGTTCCGCTCCGGCTCTGTTCTGTGGTTCCTGTTTCTGACAGAACCTCAAGTAACAAACGACACAAGGTTCTAAATGAAGAGAACCAGAGTGAGTTCAATGAATCCTCACCACTGCAGACATGGCAAAGCTCTTAAACAGGAATCCTTTGCGGCTGTAACGGTTCCCTTCAAAGATCATGAAGTCTCCATCATGGCTGACCTCCCCACCCAGGGACCTGTCAATCAAACCAGCATCTGTCAGTCATATACTCAACGACAGCCTCTGGTTTTTATGCACGTCTTATTTGGAATTCGTAGATCACATTACTTGGCCTGTGTGACTTTATTACAACACAGTATTATCTGTGCCTGTGTGTGTGTTTGTGTGTGTGTACCTGATCTTCTCAGCATCAAACAGCCTCTGTGCAGGCCTCTTGAACTTCTTCCTCTTAGCGAACCAGTCTTTCTGCACGTTGAACACAGAGTCGACTGTAAAACACTGACTCAAGAAAAGAAGTGAGTTCAATAACCAGTTAACAAGTTAAAGTTTGCACTACCAGACTCATCTTGGCCTTGATACGGTCCAGATCTATTCGAGGGATCATCTTCAGGGAGATGGTGTTTTGACTCGGCTCCACGTAGTCGACCTGGAGAGAAGAATCAGCTTTATTTTACCGACAGCTCAATAAAGAGAACAGCACGTTTGTTTTTGGAGCAGTGAGCTCAGTCTGGAGCACAAAGAGTCAACAGTTTGAACCGTCTATGTCATGACTCATGACATTTATATACATGTGAAAAACTCTGATCAGATTAAATGAATCACAAATCAATAAACTAACCTTTCTGTCCAAAAACACAGTGAACTAAGACTGAAGCTCAACATGTTCAATCTCATTGTGGAGATTTGATCTCACTGTGAATGTTTCAGAAGTGCTGATGTCATGATTTGTCATTCACTGGTTGTGACATCACTCTGTACCTGAGCGATGTCGTCCTTGTACAGGCCTCTCTTCAGTCGCACCCAGGACTTGGGCTTCAGGTTCGTGACCTCTTTGACGACCTTGAGGACGTCTGTCATCTCTTTGATTGGAACCATCTGCTGGTTCCAGAAGCCCATCCTCAGGTTGCCAATGCCCTCAATAGCGGACTTGACGTGCGTCTGTTTGTAGGACTCCACGTAGATGTAGCCTTTGACGTGATCCGGGGCGACCACCGACTTGATCTGCAGGGGCTGTGAGTTGGGGGAGGGGGGGGTGGGTTCAGATTAAAAAGGCAGAAAAGGTCAAATTTCAAAGACCAACATGGATTTAAATTTTACCAAGATCAGGGAGTAAAAACATTTCAGATACCATCACTTATATATTTATTTTAGACTTTGTCATAAATAACTACAAATAAAAAGAAAATATAGAGAATTTTCTCCATCGTTTATTCTGAAAATTTTAGACACACTGGCTGGTTTTTAACGACCAATCGATAATTCGGTCACGCTCTACATTCCAAGACCGTAAAGCTGTGACCGAATATGCACTGGTGATGATAAATTGTATTTATACAAAAGTAAATAAAGACCGTAGAAACAAATTAATTCAGTTTGAGTTTGGTTCGAGGTTACGCTCCACCCTGTACTTTATTGTTTACTTGCACTAGTGTATGGTATTTGTATTTCTAGTTACTCTTATTTTTCTGACACTTTTACATGTTGAGTTGCTTGAGGTGCCTGGGATTTAAGATTTTCATTGCCAACATTTAGAAGTATCTGTTGTGCAGATGACAAATAAAACCTCTGAAACCTTTGAAACCCTCTAAAACAAGAAACATCAGGGTTCAACCTTTTTTTCAAATAAAAGCAGAGCGTTCAAATGCGGAAGAGTGTCTTACTGTGTCGGTGAACTGGTAGGCGATGAACTTCCTCATCAATGCGATGGCTGTCGCCCTCTCCTCTCCGATCTGAGGAGACAGGACGTGATGTTAGAAGATGTGTGCTTTAGTGAAAACGTGTGTGTGTGTGTGTTTGTGTGTGTGTGTGTGTGTGTGTGTGTTTGAGAGTGTATTGAGGATACACACCTTGCACTTGACCGTCCACAGATTTGGATCCCTGATGAAGATAAACAAGTTTCAACACGAAATCATAATAATAAGAATAAATCTAATCTGATCTCTGACAGAGTCTCGGTGCTGAGTGGTGGACGAGCGTTTACGTACTTGACCCCAGGAAGTAGCTGCTGCTGGGTGATGTCATCAGACAGCTCCTCTGACCCTCCGGAGTAACTGTGCACCACAGAAGAAGAAAAACATTTATTTAATATTTCATTGATTGTTTTTTTTCCAATTGGATGATCATGTTCACCAGCTGTTGGTGAGGAAAGTTTCAAAATAAAACATCAACTATTTTACTTGATGTGTGAATAAAAGATACTCACTGCTCCCCTCCTGAAGACTTGGCATACTTCCTCATGTAGTATTCACCCAGCGCCTCCTCTCTGGAGTCTCTGTAACATACAAACACACGACCAGGTAACGACGTGCAAAATAAATGAACCCAAAGAAACAAGAACGCAGATCTCCAGCTTCGTCCAGTTGGTCCCAGGAGACAGGAAACCAATCTCTGGAAGATGTCCCGAGACCATTTCAGAGTTCACGTCTAAAATCAGTTCTTGTGACGTGTGATCATTTTTGTATATGCTCGTTGCTTTGTTTATAATAGTTGTGTTGTTGTTCTTGAAGCACATTTGATTCAATTATTCAAAGTTGTATTCATTTAAACCTGATCAAAATCTGTTTGTCTTGATAACATGATTATTCAACAATAACTTGAGTCACTGTAATCGTGATGTAACTGTCACAGCATTTCATCTGGTTTGGTTCAGAGCTTCAGACTCTTCAGTTCAGTCTGAAGCTGAACATCAGGTGTGAAAGGTTCCTCAGACCAGAAGAGGAGTTCTGGGTCTGGATCAAACCGAACCATGGTTTTGTTGGTTCACAGTGAAAACACTTTGTTGGACAGATAACTTTAATTCTTTAGTCCCTAAATTACAACGTGAAACCAAAACTCACCAGATCAGATGAAACTACTGAACAAACACATGAAGCCTGGTTTCTGAGTGTGAGACGATGTTGACGTGTTACCTCCAGAGGTTCTGCAGCCTCCTGGAGCCAGAGTGGTCCTCATCCAGAACCACGTGGTCGATGGTCGACACTGAGGGGGACAGATCGGGCGGGGTTCATTTTAATATTGGCAAAATGAATTCAAATTAAAACCAAAGGATTGTGACTGTATAAGGGGAAAAAAAAGAAAATCTGACTTTACCTTCAGCCTCCTCTGCTCAGGACCCATCGAAGAGAGGAGGGAGGGTAAACAGACAAGACGGAAGAAAGGAAAATAAAGGGAGGAAGAAAATGGGGAAATGAAAAAGTAGAAAGAGGCGTAAAAGAGCAGGGGAGAGAATAACAGAGAGGTGGAAGAGGACAAGAAAGAGGAGAAGGACAGACAAGCGGAGAACCAAGAAAAGGAGTGGGAGGGTGAGAGAAAGGAAGTAGAGAAGGTTGGGATGGAGTGAGAGAGAAGAGGGCAGAGAAGAAGATAGAAGAAGAAAGGTAGAAGGAAGGAGGGAGAGAAGAGCAGCAGCAGGACAGTTGAAGGAGAGGAAGTGGAGGATGAGGGAGACAGTGTCATCAGGGCAGAGCACACAGGAGCAGAGTCAGGCAGCAGCGACACAAAGCATGATGGGAAAAAACAACAGAAACAAACACATTAATGGAGACTAGAGCAAAAAGAAGCATGAGGCCGGTGACGGGTCAATGTGGGTCAGGAGGGAGGACGTAGAAACAAAACTATACGAGGACGCTACGCTCACAGAGAGCGTCTTTATATACACTCACTGTCTTTATATACCGTCAGTGTCTTTATATACCGTCAGTGTCTTTATATACCGTCAGTGTCTTTATATACCGTCAGTGTCTTTATATACAGTCAGTGATGGTCTTTATATACAGTCAGTGTCTTTATATACAGTCAGTGATGGTGTTTATATACAGTCAGTGTCTTTATATACAGTCAGTGATCATCTTTATATACAGTCA